TGTTTGGAGCTCCTGCAGATTTCAGACTTCCATGCCAGCTAACCTATGACAATAACAATTGGAGTCTTCCCTGTCCCAGTAGGAGACTCTTGTTCTCTGCCTGTGACAGTCTACTTCTTTGCCCATGCTCTCAGACTTGTTCAGTGTCTTAGAGATAAAAATGGCTTCCCTAGGTAGGGCTGGTTCATATCTGGAAACCAGTCCACAGCTCTCCATTGCCTTAATGCTTTTTAGTTTACTGGGTGTTTTCTTATTAAAATATGAGCAGTGATCTTTTCATGACCTTCTTTATTCTGACTGGAAGTAGAACTCCCAAAGATACATTTTGAGAACATTTTTCAGTAATAGATTTGGGAATAGAAGTGGAGTAGAGTTTAGGCCATGAGTGTTTTAAAATCATGAGTGCCGCTGAAGAGGTCATTAGATTTGCTAAGCCCAAAGGACCTTGAGATGAGGTTTATATCAAATAAAATATTTCTTGTATACTGGAAAATTATTGCTACAAGTTGAAAATGCTTATTAATTGATGAATCCTAATAAAAGGATATTTAGGATTCCTTAATATTTGAAAATGACAGGAGAGAAAAGAATCTCATAATTCCTCTTGTTTGGCTTTTAATTAGGTATATCTGGCCCAAGTGTATCTTATGAGAAATATTATTCCTACAGTAGTAGATTTTGATGATGTAACAACAGTAGAAGTTTTGTTAACTGACAAAATTGGGAGAATTGGATCAGTTAATCAAAAAAGTTGATTCAAGTGGAGATCCTTAGTATCAGAATACCCAACTAATAGTGGCTTAAATCATTAGGATATATGCTCTCTTAACAAGAAATTGGGAGGTGCATAGTCTGGGGTTGTTCTATCCAGCAGTTCAACAATCAAAAATTAAAACAAAAATAACAAAAAAAAATCATCAATGTTGGGTATTGCTCATTCAGTGCTCTCTTCTTAGTGTGTTGACTTTTTAGCTTCACATGTGTGATTTTATAGTCCAGAATGTAGAATGCTGTAGTACAGATACCATATTCAGACTTAAAGCAGGAATGAATGTTGGTTGGGGTGGGTGCTGTTTCCAGAAAGGTCCTTCAAGTGGTTTTTTCCTTTTATCAGTGAAGAACAACATTTTCCCCAGAAGCCCTGGCAAAGGTTCCCTTTTGCCTCATTCACCAGAACTGGGCCTGATAGCTACCCTTAGCTGCAAGGGAGCTGGGGAAGCAAGAATCTGTTAAAAAGAAATCAGGCAGTATGATTGGTTTATGCCAGTGGTTCTCAAGGTGGGGAAATGGGGTATTTTGTTTTATAACTTCAGCATCTGGAAATATATGGAGAATATTGACATATCGTGAGCAGGGGCTAGGGATACTAAACTTTTTGCAGTGCGTGTGACAGTTCCGAAGAAGGTAGAATGTCTAGCCTAAAGGATCAGTAACAGCCCTGTTGAGAACCACTAGCTTGGACTATTCAGAATTTATTGTTGGGAATGCACACATTACCACCCCAAACAAAAAGGGCAAAAAAAGAATGAGGGAAAATGGCTTGGGATGGGCAAAGAACAATGTCTTCTATATGGTCATTGTGTAGTTTAAACATTTTATTATAACTTGAAGCATATAAATGTATATTAAGTGTAATTGATGGGGGGAGGCTGTTTGAGTATCGATCCCCTAATTAGTTTACTTTTTTTCCCCTCATATAAATCATACCCATAGCCATCCTCTATGATGTACTTTTAAAAAAAATAGAGCAAGTACTTACATATTGCAGAGCAATCTGAGAATCTGGGTATAGAATCGTTCTTGTTATATTTCTGATTTTTAAAAGAGGCTTGGCCTGTTTGCTTTTTTCCAGAGTATTCTGCCTAATTTTCATTAAAACAACTATTTTTGCACTCTCATTTTGTCAGTTTGATTGCATTTTATAATTAAAAATAATAAATAAATTGGCATAATCACGTTTAGAAACGAACAGATGACTCGGTAATCTTCTCACTCAGTTGTGGAATACCATGCTTGTTGTTTACTGGTTGAGAGTTGGTCATTGTGCCCCAGGCATCAGTTTCTGTTACCCAGGGAAAAGTAACATTGGTCAGTTCAGCAAGTTGAGTAGGTAGACATCATTTAAGAAAGTTAACTACCATATATTAAAATATCTAATAGCTGAACTCTGGACTTTTTCCCTGAATTATAAATTGGGTTACTTTAATAAAGACCAGATTTCATCACTTCTCTTTCTTTAGCAAATAAAGTAAATATTATTACATAGGTTACAAAACTAAGACACAGAGAATTTAATTTCTTAGTTTCATAATTAGAGGCTTCAGTCCTTCAAGCACATTCCAGCTTTTCAGAAATGTTTATTGAATACTCAATTTTCAGTGCTGTGAGCTTGGGATATAGTGTGTGTCAAACAGAGTCTTGGTCCTTTTGGAGCTTATGGTCTATATTTATAGTATATCTCATTGTAGACCTCGGCAGCATAGTCATCCTAAAACTCTAGATCCCTGTAGCTTCATCCCTAGATCAAAGAAAATTGGTCACAGGGTACAGGATTTACCAACAGACAGTTTTACTAGAGGAGTAGAAGTTCTTAGGGGTTCTAGCTTCTATTACGTTGAAATATTGCAGAGAACCAGAAAAGTACGGAGGAGATCCTGCTGTCATAGCATACCTTAAAAATGAAAACTCTATATAAAACACCTTTGAATTGAGTCATACTTTTCTAAAATAAAACTTAAATTCTTGTATGTATTCTTTGATTCCTAACTCACTTAAGTAACGAGTTAAAAAACCACTGTGCCATGGGACTTTTATGTTTCTGAATACTTTCTTTCAAACTATGAAAAATTAATTTAAACAAATTGGTTTGCTTTTAATAGTTAAGTCATTTAAAATGGGAAACTGTAACTCTTGAAATACTCTAGTGGTAATAAATATAGCTAACAGATTTGAAGATAACTTCAGATAGCGTTATGCTTAATTATGCTTTAATAGACTGACTGAACATATAAGATATCTTCATGTTTTTAAATTCCCAGAGGAGTTTTTTTGGTGTTAATAAATTGATACAACTTAATTTATTTTACATCTATGAGGAAAAATAATAAATGACATTAAAGTCTTTCTATGTACCAGGGACTTAATGTAAGCATTTTACCTATATTAAACTTCTCAAAGTTCTTTTAGCAAATCACGAAGTAGTTACAATTATGAGAAAACAACAGAAAGAAGGATATGTATTTTGCCTGAAATTACATACCTAAGTAATGGAGTTGGCTCTAGGATCTATGAGTAACAGAATAGGTTTTTACTATTTTACTTGAACAACATGTATTGAGTGTACAGTTAAATTTAGCTCAGAAATAAATTGATCCCAGTCACTTTTAAATCAAAGTTCTGTCAGATAATCATCTTCAGTGCTTGTGATACTGTGATTTATAAGAAAAAAATGTACTTGGTCTTCATCTTTGGTTCCTGGCTCTGAGCTTATCAAATTATCTTCAGATAATTCAGTTCAGGAAATAAGACTTTGCTGTAAGGTGAGGTTACTTAAATTCTAGCTCTTCATTGAATTTGTAGTTTAGTTTTTAAAATGAAACGTCTCTTTTCATTTTATGCAAAATAGATGTATTTTCCTCTAATATATTAATATACATTTTTTAAAGGAGGTGATTTTTTCCTTAAGAAGTGATATCTTTTATGCCTTTAAAAACGTTTACCTATATTCAGATCTGGATATGATTCAGGTTTAGTTTTAGATTTGAAAAAAAAACGACTTCTGTGACTATTGTTTCTGCTTCTTGAAAAGAAAATTTTCAAATCTTGGGAATACATTATTAGTCATAATTATAATTACCTGAATTTTACTTTACATTTGGGGGCTGTATTTTTTAGAAAAATTCTCACTTTAAATTCTTTAATCCAAATTGTCATCTATACCAAGCTTGTTGCTAAGACTTTTTGTCCCGAACTAAGATCCTGCCCTCTCCCCAAAAAACCATTCTGGATTGTTTAAGAAAATCTACCTCCTTTCACACTTGCCGTAGTATTTTTTTAAAAATACTTTTTTCTTGGTTTCATTGAGCTTTAATATTCTTAAATCTCATGAAGAAGATGCTGGTTTTCTCTAATAGAAGTACATGTTGCTTCTTAAAAGGCCTTTTTTATTTAAGTTGATTGGGTAAGACAAATGAAACAACCAGTTAAGCTCATTCCTTCTGTACTTAATTTTAACTTCAAAGCTCCTAGTTTTAACCTCTGGTTCAGTCCCATCTTACTAGATTTAAGTGGCTTTTGTTTTGTTTTTTTTTCATGCAGGTTCTGCTCATTAATCACCACGAGTGTGGATCTGAAGAAGAGTTTATTACCTCTCTTTTTTTGAGTATGTTTAACTTCAGATACACACAACGTAGCCTCTCCTTCCCTATTAGATTCTTAGAAGGTAGTTATATTTTTATAGTCTCCTTCTTGTGACTTTGATAGTTGTGATCAATAAGAATAAAAACTATTCCTTACATATTGGGCTACTGCATGCAAATCAGTTCATTTAAAACCTCCTGGAGGTCTTTGGCATGCCAGACATAAAACCATGAGTGTTTGTTTGTGGAGGTAACCATGTTCCAAAGAAATTTAAGACTTTTAATTCTTTTATCAGGAATCTGGGAGAGAGTTATCCTTTAGGTTCTGGGAATCACTGACTTTAAGGGGCTTGCTTTTGGTGTGTGATTTTCAAAATTAATTTAAAATGGGAAATGATAAATTAGAAATGCTCTTGTGGTGTTAGCTCTCTGAATGAATAGTAGAAATTAGCTTGTATTTTACCTATTGTATGCTTAACAAATTAGCTGATTTGTCATGTCTTATTAAACATTAATGAGCATATACTTTCCATGTTTGCAATTTTTAGACACACTGATGTATTTTTTCTTATTATACATGAATATGATGAATGAAATGTAATACATAACTAATTCTTTTTTTCTTTTCTTTTTTGTATCTAGGGCTGGAAAAAGGAAAGAATTCTGGCTGAATATCCTGATGGCAGGATAATAATGGTTCTTCCTGAAGACCCAAAGTATGCTCTGAAAAAGGTAAGTTTCCAATGGAAGTACATGTAGAATGATTAATATAATTTTGCAGCTAATTTTAAGAGGATGAAATATTGGTAGCAGAGTGCATTTAAACACCAATTCTGAAAATAAGAAATAAGTAATTAATACAACCCACTGAAAAATTATGCTTAAAATTTGTAGTTTATCTAGCATATGTGAAATGAATTGTGTCATATTACCAATAATTTGAGTGATGGTATAGAAGACAGTAATGAATAATGTCACATAAGTGACTTCAGGAGTCAGAATTAAAATAAAAATCTGAATCATAATAATGCAGAAAATTAAATGTCATTTCATTCTGAGAGTAAATTTCTACATAAAAGCTTATTGTAGAAGGGGATCTAGTAATAGGTCATAGTAATCCTTAAGTTAAACATGAGATAATCATAATGTTAAGATAAAAAACAAGATTTATGCTATTTATAAAATAATGTAGAAAACGTAAAATCCTCTATTCTAGTGTGAGCCAGGTTTTACTCCAGTTTAGGGTTCAGAGAAGTGAACCAGAGAGATAATGAAGTCTGGAACCATTTTATTGTATAGAATATCCTAGAAGTCAAGAAACCGTAAGACACAAACCTATTTTTAAACAATATGTTTATTACAGTTTCAAATAATATACTCAAAATGTTTTTCCTCCAGATGCTTTTACAGAAGTACCTCATAATGTAAAGCAGTGGATCTGATTCTTTATCTGAAAAACTTAATTAAACTAGAGTGTATCCAACGTGTCTAGAAACGTAAGGAAAGTAGTTTATTGTACTTTCCTCAGGATAATAGTTGGACCTCTTTAAATTTGGGAATATTTTGCCTGAAAGGGAGCTTGACGAAAAATACTTTGAACTTTTTATTTGAAAATACAGCTAATGTTCTACTTACAGTACAGCTAATCCTCAAACAACAGTTGGTGGGGGTTGTTAATCCATAATTCACTATGCTTCGTTTCTCTGTATTCTTGGGTTCAACCAACCACAGACTGTGTACCACTGTAGTATTTACTATTGAAAAATACCCATGTATAGGTTTTGACCCAGCCTATTCAAACCCGTGTTGTTCAGGGATCAACTGTTCAAGTTTATCCTGTGGTTCCTGACTTGAGATACTCTGTATAAACGAGTGAACAATCCCAGATACCCAAATAAGCTCCCATACTACCACTGCGGAACAGTGTAGACAGCATTTAGAATGACACATAAACATGCCACCTGTCTTATATTTGATACATTGATTCTTGCACAAAAATAAATACTTGTTTAATGTTGGATTACTAGTGGACTAAATGAAAATTAAATTCTGGAATTTTTTGGAATTCCAGCTGTTATCATTTGTAAATGCACTGTGGATACTTTGCTTCACCACATGTGGCATCCTGACATTTCTTAACAAGACTCCTCAGTAAATTCTAATTTCCTCATTTTAACTTCTCAGAGCAAAATCATGGTAACCTATGATTCAGTATATTACTAGGTAGTAATCCATAATAGGTTAAAAATTAAAATCTAAGAAATTATTAGTCACTTCCCTTTAGAAATTGAATCAGGAGTTGTATTGTGGGATATTGTTCCAAGATTAGGATGACTTGAGTTTTCATTGCTGAATAAGGGATATATTACATGATATTCTGCATGTGAGAAGTATGAGTACTTAACCCCCTTAGGTGTTATTTACATTTTAAACTTAGTGTCACAAATGAATGTTTATTGGACTGAATATTTGCAGATTTGTTTTTTAAGTGAGGAAGGAGCTAATGTGTTGTGAGTGCTTACAAAAATCTTTGAAGGTGGTCAGGGGTATAGCTCAGTGGTAGAGCACATGCTTGGCATGCACGAGGTCCTGGGTTCAATGCCCAGTGCCCCCGTTAAGGGGTAAAATTTTTTCTTTTAATTTAAAAATAAAACAAAAATCTTGACTTCTAGTACTTACAAAAGTTTGAGCTTATCTTACTTGACCTTGACCACAGTTCAAGGAGGTAAACCTAAAGAAGCACAGTTTGATGCCATACTAACATTGTGGATTCAAATCCCTGCTCTTTGGTTCTAGATGTCTGATATCTGACATGAGAAAGTTACTTAACCTATGAATTTTATTTCTTCCATATGCAAGGTGAGGAACTATAAGCCTCTAAGGGGTATTGGATGTAAATAAGATAATAGTCATAAAATGCTTTGCATAATGTCTGGCCTGTAAATGGTTGATAAGGAGTAAACATGTACTCTGTACTCACTTCCATTTTACTGATGAGAGTACTAATTAAGGCTTGGGAAGAAGATAAATGGATTGTCTGGCTAAGATTGCAGTGAAATTCTCTCCAATCTCAGACCCATGATGCTTCTTTCTAATGCGAAGCCTTGATGTTCTTATTACTTACAGTAGGAACTCTCATTCCTCTTGTTCCCAGACTGTTGGACTTGACATTACTCTCCATTCTTTCCTCTTTTTTACAAGTTGGCCCACAGGACTTGAAAAACAATTGTTGGTCAAGACAGTCATTCAGAAGCACTCTTTAGAGGATGTTCTTTGGAATAATATACTCAGCGTACTGAACTGAAACTGTATTTTTACATATATAAAATACTTTCATTGTTAACAAAAATATTGTTCTTTATTTGATAGGTTGACGAGATTAGAGAAATGGTTGATAATGATTTAGGATTCCAACAGGCTCCACTAATGTGCTATTCCAGAACGAAAACACTTCTGTTTATTTCTAATGACAAAAAGGTAGTTGGTTGCCTAATTGCAGAACATATCCAATGGGTAAGTGATTTTTTTAAAGAGTGGTCGTATGTAGTTTGGTGTTTAAAGAGTTACAGAAACAACCCAATCCTGGTAAAGTTATCAACATTTTATGTAAGGAAGAGTATGAATGCAAGAATTCCTGTGTATAATTCTCTTCTGTAGTGGAGTTATATCTTGCTTGGGAATTAGGTTCTCAGATCAGTATGTAAGGTTAAAATCCTATAAAATACTGTTAACTTTTGTCTAGGAAGTTTCTTTATTGGCTAATAATGTAATTGTCTATCTCAGTCCCTTCAGCACTAGAAGAAATCAGGAGTTGGCAAATTATAGCCAGCCTGTTTTTATAAAGTTTTTATTGTAAGACCGCCATGCCCATTTGCTTACGTATTGTCTGTTGCTGCTTTCACACTGCAGAGACTGAGTTGGCTAGTTGGAACTGAAGCCAAGTATGCTGCAAAGCCTAAACTACTTACTACCTGGCTCTTTATGAAAAGTTTCCGACCCTTGGAATAGATCAGCCACCTCTGAGCTTGATGAGGAGTTGGCTTGTATTTAAGAGCCAAGTTGTACAAAAAACAAATAATAGAATCACAGTAAGAGCGATGTGTTCACATTATGAAAGTTGTGCAGAAACCAAGTTAGACTAACTTAAGAGAACAGAGGATTCTGGACTTCCTAATCATTCTCACTTTGAGGCATACCCCACGTGAATCCTGTCTTTTTTCAGATGAGTTCTTGCTCATTAATTCAGTGTGTATTAGATTTGACTTCTGTCTAGTTGATATTGTTCAGTATATTAATAGTTGCCTGCAAATGTATGCTTCATCATAACATTTTCTAATAAAGTGCAAAGTCAAAACAACTGTGCATGAGTTAATTTCTATATGCTAAGCTACATTAGAAAAAAATTCAGCCTAAAGTGGTGTAGTTTATGAAACTTACTATTTGTAATAACAAAACTAATTTAAATAAATAGCTGACAAGATAGTTTGGAGATATAAATTTGATGTAAAATGACTAATTGATAGAGGCGTGCTGTGTTATAATTGAGTTAATTTTACGTAGTGCAAATTTTTTTGTTTTGTGGGTTTTTTTTTATTGCAATGGGTATATTCTTTGCTTTATCACTTAACCTACTTGGTAGGTCTCTGAGTCTTGATTGTCCCACTGTTAAGAAATATCAGCAATGTCATGCTTGGTTTACCTGAATGCCAGAGTGCTCTCAGTGTATATTGGATAACTGTGTTGTGTGTTTAAGGATTGTCCTTAGCAACTCGCCCCCCTTAATTTCATTCCAGCCAGCGTGATTCATTACTCCTGAGGATGATTGATAGTAAGATACTCACTTGAGGGAAGTGTCACCTTTTGTATAGGACACAAGTTAAATAAAATTGATGATTGAAATAGTTGAAGTTAATTAGATGAGGGAAATTAAATAGATATTTGAAGTCAGATGTGCAGAGTGACAAAGATATTTACAAATTTTATAATAGAATATTCTTAAATCTATTTGGCAAATGACTCTGCATTAAGAGAAACTGCAGGCAGTGTCTTGTTTTTGACTGTTTCTTACAGTGTTCTTTGGTTGGCTGTTGTTTACAGTGATTGTCCTTTGGTAAACCCTTGTGTTTTTAAAATATCTATTCTATCCAGTTCCAAAAATGGCTTGTAGCAGTGTTTAGATTAGAACATAGCTGTGTAATGCTTGCTTGTTTTTTGACTCTCAGTTGCGTTGTCTAAGTTTATATCATGTCCCAGAGGGCTGGTCATGTCCTTTTTTGGCCACTAGACTGATAGAAGAGATGTATGCTTTTTAAAGTACTACTTTACTATTTATTTTAAAAGAAATGGGTATGTGGAGAAAGGACCTTCCTAAATTCTTGATTCCTCTGGTTCCTGCACAGATATGAACCCTAGAGCTATGGCAGCAATCACAGAAACGGTTGTTACTGCTGAGTTCTTAACACGTACTTTTGCCTGTCCTTAGAATATGAAAAGTAGAGAAAACTAATATTCAGTTCCTATTATGTGCCAACCATGATGGCAGGATGCTTTGTATATATTACCTTGTTAATCTCTCAGCACTTCTCTGAAAGAGGTGATGGAGATGTCCAATTTATAGGTGAGGAACCCAAAGCTTAATTAATTTCATCTCTTGGTCACATAATTAGTAAGTGAGTTAGAACAGAATGTAGATCTAGGTCTGTTTACTTCCTAAAATGAGAGTCCCAGCCTAAGTGGTCCCCAAAGTTTGTTAAGAAACCCTACAGAAGTAGCGGCCTCCTCACTAAGGTCAGTACTAGAGACAGTTGCTTAATAATATTCTCACTTTTTTTTTTTAATATTCTCATGTTAAAATCCGCCCCCACCCCAATTTTGCTACATATAGGGCTACAGAGTTATAGAAGAAAAACTTCCAGTTATCAGGTCAGAAGAAGAAAAAGTCAGATTTGAAAGGCAGAAAGCCTGGTGCTGCTCAACATTGCCAGAGCCTGCCATCTGCGGAATTAGTCGAATATGGGTGTTCAGCATGATGCGCCGGAAGAAAATTGCTTCTCGCATGATTGAATGCCTAAGGTAACTTGAATGCAGTGCTTCAAATCATTTTCAGTGGTTTAGGATTTAAGCAAAGATTGACATTTAGTTAATTTTAATTATGTAACCTTTTTTATATTTAAATTTTGCATAAGATTGTATGTTGGATCTGTGGGTACTTTTTATGTAAAATTATACAGTAATTACATATTTGTCTTTTGCTCTTTAAAGCATCTTTGCTAAATGATTAATAGAGGAGGTTAAAATTATTTATGCAAATGAGGTTTTTTTAGGTCGGTGTCTTGTTTTTGTGTATTCATAAAACCCCTGTCTACTATTTATCTGTAGGTATAGCTTTCAAAATAATCCGTCATTGTTGTGAGATCCTAAGGCTCTAGGAATCTTAGAGCCTTACTTTGTTTCTGATCTCTCCCCCTTATTTTTAATCAATGAGCAGTGATCCAGAAGGGCTTAAATCTACCTAACCTTCTCGAGAGGAGAGGCAAGTCTGTTGTTTTTTTTTTAACATTTTTTATTGAAGAGGCAGGTCTTGTTTTTAGCTTTTTTAGAACTTAATCTAGAAAATGCAGCTGATTTAATAATAGTCCTAAATTAGGATATTGTAAAAAAGGGTATCTTTTAAAACTTAGATCTTGTCACAACCATGAGATGGTTCTAGTTTATAAAAACATAAAACAGTTTAGTCATTGTGTTTGTTCTGCGCAGTAGTGACGGTTGCCACTGTAAGCTTCCTGTTAAAACCATAGAGGTTTCTAACTTTTTTCATTTGTTGTTCTTTATGTACCCATCTCACCTTGTTAAGATTACAGTATAAAAATTCTACTAATAGTCTATATCCTGGGAAAATTTTAAACTTTTTTTTGGTTTGGTTTTTTTTGGGGGGTAGGTAAATTAGGTTTTTTTTTTTAAATGGAGGTATAGGGGATAAAACATTTTAAAATAACAGCTTTACTGAGATATAATTAAAGCATAAAATTAATCTTTTTAAATTAACCATTTAATTTTTTCTTCTAGTTTTATTGAGATGTAACTGACATACAGCACTATATAAGTTTAATGTGTACACCAAAATAATTTGACTTACAGTACATCATGAAATGATTATCACAATAAGTTTAGTGAACATCCATCACCTCATATAGATACCAAATTAAAGAAATAGAGAAAAAATTTTTTCCTTGTGAGGAGAACTCTTAGGATTTACCCTCTTGAGACAACTTTCATGTATAACATACAGCAGTGATAATTATATTTGTCATGTTGTGCATCATACCCCTAGTACTTATCTTATAACTGGAAGTTTATACCTTTTGACTGCCTATATCCAGTGCCCCCTCCCCACCAGCCTCCACTTCTCTTAACCACAAATTTGATCTCTTTTTATGAGTTTGTTTCTGAAGTATAATTGACCTGCAACTGTGTTATTTCCTGTTACACAACATAGTGTTTCCATATTTCTGTACATTTAAAAATGATCACCATAATAAGTCTAGTTATGGTATGTCACCATACAAAGATATTTCATAGTTATTGACTATATTCTCCACACTGTACATTTCATACCCATGACACACTTATTTTGCAACTGGAAGTTTGTATCTCTTAATCTCCCACACCTACTTCTCTCTCAGCCCTCTCACCTTCCCTTGCCCCCTGCAACCACCTGTTTGTTCTCTATATTTATAACTGTTTCTGTTACGTTTGTTCATTTGCTTTGTTTCTTAGATTCCATGTAAAAGTAAAATCATACAGTATTTGTCTTTATCTGACTTACATCACCCTTTGGGTCCTTCCATGTTGTTGCAAATGGCAAGATTCCATTCTATTTTATGGCTGATAGTCTATTGTGTGTATTGTATGTGTGTGAGTGTATACACACACACTGCATCTTCCTTATCCGTTTATCTGTTGATTGGCATTTAGATTGCTTCCATATCTTGGATATTGTAAATAATGCTGCATTGAACATAGAGGTGCATAGATGTTTTCTAATTAGTGTTTTGTTTTCTTTGTGTAAATACCCAGGAATGGAATTGCTGGGTTATGTGCTAGTTCTGCTTTCAGTTATTTGAGTAATGGCCATACTGTTTTCCATAGTGGCTGTACCAATTGACATTCCCACCAACCGTGTACGAGGGTTCCCTTTTCTCTGCATCCTTGCCAGCACTTGTTATTTGTTGTCTTTTTGATAATAGCCTTTCTGACAGGTGTGAAGTGATACCTTATTGTGGTTTTGATATGTATTTCCCTAATGATTAGTGATGTCAAACATGTTTTCATATGCCTATTGGCCATCTCTATGTCTTTCTTGGAAAAATGTCTTTGCAGTTTCTCTGCCCATGTTTTAACCTGGTGGTTTGCTTTTGATGTTGAGTTGTATGAGTTCTTTGTATATAATATCCTTAATGGATATTTCATTTGTAAGTATCTTCTCCCATTCAGTAGGTGGCCTTTTTGTTCATCTTTTTAAGGTGACACTTCACCGGGTTTTAGTATATTCAAAAGGCTGTGTAACCATCACCACTGCCTAATTCTAGGAATTTCCATCACTTTCCCCCAAAACCCGATACCTATTACAGTCACTCCCTGTTCCTTCTCCTCAAGTTCTGGCAACCACTAATCTACTTTTGTCTCAATAGATTTGCCTATTCTGAACATTTTTAATAAATTGATTCCTATAATATATGACCTTTGGTGCCTGGTTTCTTTCATCTACCGTTTTCAGGATCATCCATGTCGTAGCATGTATCTGTTCCATTCCTCTTTTATTGTCAAATCATATTCCTATACACACACACACACACACACACACACACATCACATTTTATCTATCAGTTGAACAACATGTGAGTTTCCACTTTTTGGCTGTTATGAATGATAATTTGTGTTATCATTCTTTTTGTAACTTGTGTTTTTAGTGTCATATCTAAGAAACGAGTCTTCATCCAAGGCCGCAAAGATTTATACCTTTATTTTCTTTCAAGAGCTTAAATTTTAGTTCTTACCTTTAGGTCTTTGATCGTTTTTAAGTAAAATTTTGATGTGAGGCAGGATCTAACTTCATTCTTTTGCATGTGGATATCCAGTTGTTCCAGCACCATTTTATTAAACAGACTTTTCTTTCCCATTGAATGGTCTTGCCACCTTTGTCAAAAATGATTGATCATAAATGTGAGGGTTTTTTTTCTGTCTGGACTCTTAGTTCTATTCCTTTGGTCTGTTGTTACGCCAGCAGCCTACTGTCTTGAACACCATAGCTTTGTAGTGTGTTTTGAAATAAGGAAATGAGAGTTCTCTAATTTGTTCTTTTCTTAAGAGTCTTTTGACTATTCCGTGTCTCTTGCATTTTCATATAAATTTTAGGACCAGCTTGTCAATTTTTGCAAAGAAGCTAGCTGTAGATCAATTTGGGGAGTAATGCCATTTTAACAATATTAAGTCTTCTTTCTGATTCATAAACATGGGGTGTCTTTCTATGTGTTTAAATTTCCTTTAATTTCTTTCAGCAATGCTCTATAGTTTCCATTTTTTTAGGTCTATCACTTCTCTGTTAAATTTAATCCTAAGTATTTACTCTTTCAATGTTATTACAAATGGACCTGTTTTCTAAATTTCATTTAAGTTTTTAGTAGCTATCTTATATCCTGCAGCCTTGCTGAACTCTTTTTTTTTATTTGATCTAATAGTTATTTTGTGAATTCCTTAGGATTTTTGTATATAAAGATCATGTCATCTGTAAAGAGATAATTTTACTTCTTCCTTTCCAATCTAGTTGCTTTTTATTTCTTTTTTTTGTCTAGTTGGCCTGGTTGAATAGAAGAGATCTGAGCAGACATAACCTTACCTTGTTCCTGATGTCTGAGGAACAGTTTTCAGTCTTTTTTACCATTAACTTTGATGTCTTTTGATGGTCTTTATCAGGTTGAGAAAGTGCCTTCTACTCAGAGATGAGTATTTTTATCATGAAAAGGTGTTGCGTAAATGTTTTTAAAACTATTGCTGCTTTTATAAGACAATTATTTTTTAACAGTTTCTAGAAGATACAATATTACCTAGAAAGTTTTTCGGTTCAAATTGTATTTGACAGGTCTTTTCAATGTTAATGATTAATAAATAATATACTTTTCTTTTTTACCCTTCCATGTCTCTCCTTTTTTTAATAGGAGTAACTTTATATATGGCTCATATTTGAGTAAAGAAGAAATTGCTTTCTCAGATCCTACTCCTGATGGAAAACTGTTCGCAACACAGTACTGTGGCACTGGTCAGTTTCTGGTATATAATTTTATTAATGGACAAAATAGCACCTAAACTAAATTCATGCCTACAGTATCAGAAGACATCTACTGAAGAGAATGGATTGGTTGCTGACTTTAACCAGGAACTAGGGCCATTTTTATTACAATGAACTCAGGACTGGCAACAACCATAAGGTTGTTCCATTTTCATAAAAATTGGAAAAAATGCAGTAATTGCTTATTGTTGTTTTGTTTTTTAAAGAAGATATTTTATTATCTTTTACAGAAATTTATGATTGATGTATTTTATCTATAGTTATTTAGACATGTTTACATGCAGCAGATAATTGTTCATAGTGGACTGAAAACTAATGCAAGGACTATGGTCTCAGTGATAAGTATATTTTGAAGTTCTTAATTATGGAAATATACCAGTGTAGCTTGGTACTGTATTTTTTTATATTGATCTCTGATACCAGTTATAGTTTTAAAGATTGTATTTTCAGAGTGGAAACCAATGTTTTTGCATTATTATTCAAAAAGGGTCAATGTTACGTGTTTAGGAATTCAAGGCTAATTCTTAAACGACCTGAAATATACTTTAAAGGAATCCTCACAGAAAAGTAAAGCTCCCTTAGCCAGGAGAATTTGAACTATTGCGCTTTTCCTTCCATTTCTCTCCTTCCTACTCTTATGATGGCAGGAAGAGGTGGAAGGTGGGAAAGAACTGAAGCTTTCCTTCCTGGAGAGCTATAAATGACTAGAATTAGAATGGTACCCTCTCATTTATTATTCTTTCATTCTGGTTTCACTTTTTAAAGTAAAGGGCAACTTGGCACACTTAGGCTATTAACAAATCCCAAAAGGGTTTATAAAAATCTGTGGAATAGTTGCAAGCTAAATATGGATGACTTGGTATCTGCTTTGTTACTCCTCAGAAATACTACACTGGGTATATGCCCTCATTAGTGGACTTCATTTTGATACTTGTCTATCCTTCATAGTGCCCTCTACTTTTAAAGGGTTTATATGTTGAAAAACTGCTGTGGCCTTTTATGACCTGTATATAATGTAGAGTAAAATAATAAAATACTTGATAGCTTTTTCTAAGTGATAAATGTGATAATGGTGTGTTGTTACTGTGTTTTTTTCAGGGAGTTTGTTAGGTTTGATACCTTGAAATAAGATTACAGCACTGGCTTCTTTAAAGGTAGTTTTTACCACTTTGCCAAAGGATCAGAATGTCATTAGCATCTCCAAAAGACAAGATCCTAACATGAGAATTTTCTGGTATTTCAAAGAAGAGCCTTGGCCCAAGAATGAAGCACCACTGTGGTTTAATATAGATTAATTTTCTGAGCTGAAATTAGAACCAACTAAAAATTAGGGCTTTTAATAAGATTAACAGGCAGGTATATATTTTATCCCCCATAAATATATGCTTTTAAAATTAATGGAGTCGTGTAAGGCTCTGTACTCTGTAGGGCGGAATGGTAAGGCAGTGTAAATATTTCCCTCTGATTGATCATGATGGTCTGACTCTTGACACTGCTTTTTCCTTTGGACTTGAGATTCTTCTAGCCATCCCTGGTCTCATTGTGTACCTAGCAATGACCTTAATTTTTTTGAAACAGGATGAGGTTTTTCAGGTGTAGTGTAGATGTTCTAGTAACTGTTAATCTTACAACACAGGCCCAATTTCCATGTAAGCAATAGTATGCTTCTTTGGGGAGCCAAACTTGGTGGTTTCAGGGGGACTTGAGGGTAGAGAGGATATACTGATTGGTTTAAAGGTTACTATTACTAGAAATACAGTTTATTTTCATGTTTATATTAAAGATATCCTCTAAAATAACTTTTACAGTCTAGCTATTTTTCTTAGAATTAATAGTACCTAGCATTTGTTTGCCATGTGTCATACCTTGTGTTTAATTATCATAACCCCATGAAGTGGAGTTTACAAGTGAGGAACTTAGAAGATAATTGAGGACTACAGTAGCAGTCTTTGTGAAAGATGTTGAAACTGAACTAAAGCTGTGATGTTTGGTGAAGATGAAGAGACAGATAAACTTTGAGAAGATAAAATTGAAGAATCGATGGAGCTGATAACGGACCAGAGAAGGATCATGACAGACAATCTAGGGTAGTTTTGATTTGGATAATTGAGGAGATAGACTGACTGAGAAGGGCTTACTGGAGAATTATGTTGGGAGGATTGGCTGGGGAAGGATGAGCTCAGTTTTGGTCACAGTTTTAAGATGGTTGCAGAATCTCCAAGTGGAGAACTCTATTTGGTATCTAATGGGACATGTAGATCTAGAGTTTGGGAAAAGTCTAAACTCAGGACATATATTAATTTAGTTATAGGAAGGCTTAGAAGAGATCACCACCCTGGGATTTACAAAATGAGAGGGTAGGGAAGAGTTGTGAGGAACACTGTCATTTAAGAATCTCACAGAAGAACACCTGAGAATGCACATGCAAGGGAAGAGCCGGAAGAGAGTGGTAGAAACCAGGACTCGGAGAACGCGCAACCTCGTTACACCACAAGTGAAGGCTGAAGAGGGACGTTAGAGAAAGAGGGACGTCAGAGAAAGAGCAGTTTCTACGCAGCGGTGGAGGCACTGGTGCATGCAGTGAGTAAACACTAATGAGCCACTAACTTCAAAAGAGGTTGATTTTATAGTTGCTGATTATATGAAGGTACCTATAACCTTTCTCTCACCTATGCTTGAATAATTGTTGGTCCATCATAAAGGTGTCTTGTAGATAGACATTATAGGAACCACAAGATCTTACGGGTCAGGCCCTTGTCTGCATGGACATACAATGGTTTTGTTTCATTTTGTAAGAATCAGTATTCTACCAGTTCATAATATGCAAGGGTCAACTTGGTATATCTACGAAATGCATGACTGTCATAAGAACGGTAAGTACAATAGACATGCAGTGATATTTTAATTGTTGTTGCTTACTTTGCATGGCTGCCCAACTAGGGCGTCTGGGTAGGAACACAGCCACATTCCTGCCTAGCTGTATTTCACTAGGGGTTAAGATGGCTAAGTTGATTTCAAGGGTAGTGACTGCAAACATATATACACTTCTTACCTAGTCTCATGGCTCTTGGGACTTCTGGTGGATAAAGGGAAGATTCTGTCTTAGAACAAAGTAGTGGTCAGAAAACTTATTGTTGCCTTTTCTTTCTTATAACTTACTCCATCTGCTGTGATAGTCCCTGAAGTACAGTTGACCCTTGAACAACATGGGAGTTAGGGGTACCAACCCCCACATAGTCAAAAATCGGGTATAACTTCATGGTTGGCTCTTCATAGCAGCAGTTTCACATCTGAGTGTCAACCAGCTGTGGGTGGTATAGTGCTGTAGTAGTTTATTGAAAACACTCTGCTTATAAGAGGACACATGCAGTTCAAATCTGTTGTTGACGGATCAACCATAGATGCTTTCCTTAGCTCTGTACTTGACCATTAAGAGCGTAAGGAATTTATAGTGTGAATGGCTTTTCCTTGGCCTCAGAGGTCCTTCCTGAGGTTACCTTTAGTGATGGTTTTTTTTTTTTTTTTTCAGGAAAGTCAGTTTCAGTGTTTTAGCAATATTCTCTTAGACCCAGAGGAGGCGTAAGGGCCAATTTCCATGACTAAAGACAAGCTTGAGGATGGTCTGTACCCTGGATGTTGTTCAGCTCTGTGTGGTTGAATGTGAAGGGACGGCAGTCAGGGTTTCACAGTTCTTAGTCTCTCTACGGCAGCTGCTTTGAGTATGTTGTGGAACACTGCAGTTTCTACTTGCTTCTGAATCTGTCATCATACAAATATTTTTTGCCCCTCCTAAGGTAACAGGGATCTTTGGCCCTCAAGAATTTTTTTTTGGTTCTGTATCAAAGTCCATTATTTTAGCAGTCTTATTTCAGTATAATAGAATTGAACATCATCTTTTTCCTGGAACACCAAAGTTATTTCTTCTTAAAAGTTGTTAAAATTAGAGTTCAGAAATAAATCAGAGAGTAACACCTTATGTTACACTGCTCAGTTCCACCAACCCAGAGTTCTGCTTCTTGGGACACCAGGAATATAGCTGTCATCAATAAAAAAGATTGGGGATGTCCCATGAATATTTCTAACACCTCTTTAATAATTTCTAGATCTGTTCTCCATAGTTACGTGGCACTCTGCAACTGGGCATGACGTGTAGATTCTTTATACGTGTATATCTTCTTTGTATAAGCTACAGATTTTAAGTCAACAAATAGTTATTTAGCATTTTCTTGGACTGTTACGCCAGAGTAGTAGAATCTTAGCATCATCCTGTCTATGATATGTGGACTTCCAGCCTTTATTGGACGTTGCCAGAGTCAGGGAGGGAGTTCATTCCATTTTTGATAATACCAGAAAATTAAAGAAAACAAATTTTCTTTTTTGGGGGGAGTGGGAGAGAATTTTAATACATTCACCAAATTAAGTGAAAGGACAAGAACATACTGTAGACACAACTTAAGACAATTTAGAATCAAACAAAATGTGAGGTAGACTGACTAGTGAAATTCACCAAATTTTGGTTAAGAAAATTTTACAGTAATAAAGTCACACAGGTGCCTCCTTTTCTAAAAGATCACACAAAAGCAATTGCTTAAATTACAGCCAAAATAATTGAATACAGCAATGCTCATTGTAATTTTAGTTTACATTCAGTATTAACCTGTGTGAACTGTCATATATGGCAAGGTTCAACAGGTCTGTAGGTCATTATTATGCGGGCTGAGGGAACACACTCATACCACAGTATTCTAAGGGATGGCAAGGCTCGAAGCAGAACACACCAAGGTATGTGTTAACAAATCATCGTGTCCTGTGCTTGTGCAATTTTATCCTTAAAGGAGAAGGACCTGACATTCTCTAAAAAAAATTATACTGATAAGGTGATTTTAAAAGATCCAAAACCTTAGGAAGATAGGCATTGAAAGAATAGGCAGATCAATTTGAATTCTCTATCATTGGGGTGACGGTCTTTTGGCTTTATTCTGGCATTTCTTTTCCACAGTATTTAAGAGATCATAATCATTTGGAGTCCCTGCAGCTAAAGTAACTACTTAAAATTTTTTTTCTTAGACTATGAAGCCATAAAGCCAGAAGAAACTCTGAGAAGCCATCTGTCCCAGGTACAACTGTTTTAGGATTATTTCAAGTATTTTATTTGCCCTATGTAGTAAATATTATTGGAGTATTGCACAAACCATGGGTTTCTTGGTATCATCTGCATCAGGCCCTTTCAACAAAACAGGAACAATTGAATTACATTCATATCTAAATCAACCTGCTTCAGAACGCACATACCTCTTTGCCAAAAATTTTGCTGTACTAAAATCAAGGAATATTTTTAAAGCACATGTAAGGTAGGTCCTCTTTGAATGTGAGTTAAAAATGGGGTTTAAAGGAATTGTTCAAGATATATTTAAAACATCATAAGCTATATGAAAACCAAAAGATCTGAAATCATTCTCCAATTAGTACATTGCTTTTTTTCCACTAGCTGTAAACTCCTTGTTGTCACAAACTAATAAAGCTGGTGAGTTAACACTATTTGTTTTAGATAAATGCAGGCTTAGTAGGTCCCTCAGTTTCAGGCCACCAATAAGACATTGATTCAAGTAAAAATGGCCATTTTAAGTGGGGATAGAGTGTTACACATGGGCTAATGAAAAAATGCCAAGAGATTTAGTGCTGAGAACTGCAGTAATTTAAGAGTAAACTTCTAATAGACTTAGTAGTTCCAGAATATTTTCTAAAAATCTGTTTTCGATTAAAATTTGTAGTAAGAAATCTGTAAAAACTTAAGACCCCCTGGTAATTTTAATGAGTCAGAGACTTAATGGAATCTTCCTTACTCCTCACACACACAAAATCACCAGTAAAACAGCCTCTTTATGGTTGTTTCCCATTCCAGCACTTTCTGGGGTGGTGTCAGTATAAGGCAGCTAATGTTCATTCCGTGTATCTCTGAAGGGAAATGAACTAGGTCCACTCCACGTGGAACCTTAGCCTGCCAGACTTTCGCTTTGCTAGGGGTGAATGCTGACACCTTCCTAACAGGCTCAGCTACTGAGTCAGATTCTCCTTGTTCAAGATTAATCACTTCTTATTCTCACAGGCATGATGTGCTTAAGAGACTGGAAACATTTTTAAAGAATGAAGAAAGCGAAAGAACTTAAACCAGGAGAAGCTGCATAAATATACACAATGCCTGCCCTGCATTTACTAATTTGTTTGTTCAGTTTAAATAGTAAACTTTTAACTCCTGTGGAAATTTTGCCAAAAGTTTCAATACATATAAGATTATAAATCTTAAACTAACACTGCACAGAGAAAGACAAAGCTACTTCTTTTTTTTTAAATACAGATATCTTCTACATTCTATCATTTCAGACCCCTGAGTAATACTGTACCAAAGTACAGATCTGAAGAGAAACTGAGGGTTCAGGCCTCAGACATTAATCTTCAGTTAATTCCACACCAGCGGTGTGAGTCTCATGTAACACATTCAGGCTAGCTAATGCTGAGAGTCAATTTTCCCCCGACACAGCACAGTAGAAAAAACGATGCAGTCTCCATGTTGCTTCTCCAAAGCATTTGCTCCTCAGGCTCCCACGGGCAGACCACGTCTTAAGTAATTGCATAACTACCTAGGGTGAACTTTAACCTGAATTTAAGGTCCTGAAATTGAAACTGAAGGAGAATGATGCCCCCAAAGGCCCGGGTCAGGTTGGGGGTGGGGTGGTTCTTTGGAGAACAGACAAATATGTTGCACTTTGTTCCACAGTGATTGTACTTTAAAGGAAAAAAAATCCCAAATAATTGTTTCTGCCCCACCCCACCTAGGCATCCCTTTGCTAGTTTTGGTCTCTTCGAAAGCTCATACATGACGTCCAGTGAGAAAGTAGAGGGGCTTGTCATCACTGCTGTTAGCAGTTTGGAACTCGTCCCGGAGGCGAAACTGCCACTCATCCTCTAGCTCTAAGCGGACAATTGTTTGGCGTAAGGAACTTCTGTCTTGGCAAATGACACACAGGGTAGCACCTTCAGGAAGAAAGCAGAAATGTGTCTCAGGCTCAGGGACTGAAATGATAAAGAACCATACCACCTCTCCCTCTGATTATATCCCCTAACACATGTGGGACCAACGTCCAGGTGAGTAACCTATCTGAACTGTTCACTTTATAGTGTATTTTGAATAAGCAGTATTTTAACAAATTAAAAAGTTTAGAAGAGCGTAAAGTAAAAAGCCTTCCAACCCCATCACCCCTCCCCTGTGCTCATGTTAAAACCCAGGCGGTAACATTTCCCGTGTCCCTCCACAGCGTCCTTGGCTTCTACCCACTCTGTGCCAGCAGCATCCCACCCTGGGACAACCTAAATGGTCCCCTGGGATGCACCCTTCCCTCCAACACCCGCCCCAGACTGCTCCAGATACATTTTAGACACATATCAATAAACACGGTTTGGCCTGTCCTCGAAAGAGTGGTAGCATGCTCTACACAATATGCTGAACCTTTCTTTTTTCACCGACCTTAGAGGTCATCTTGTTGAGATTATTTGTGATGCTTAATCTGCAGATTGTTCTTAGGCAAAGCTAGTAACTGTTTGTATGGTGCATACTTGTTGAAGCGACTTTACCTTCTGTACCAGAATCATAATAGGATCGTAAATCATTAACCTGATTTTTTTAATTAAAATTAGATTATATGAGAAGCATTACCTGCAATTGCGTCATTCCTTCCTAAACGTAATAGTGGTAAAAACATTTAATATGGTCACAAAGCTGGCTGTTTATCTGCATTTAGTCTTAGTATATAACAGTGATTTGATTCCCATCTCCCCCCATTAAAAAAAATCACTGGCCCTGGTTTAAAAGCAAGGTATTTAATTTACTGGCAAAATGATTGTTAAAATGCTTTTTTATATCTTTCACTTCTGTATTTTGTCTAGTGGGAACTAACAGCATTCACAAACAAGATACTAAATTTGATTTACCTTTTAAAAACTTAAATTTCTTAAGAAGATCAGCACCTACAAAAGAGTCACAGAGGTACAGGAGGAGTCCACTGAAACACACCCCTTCACAGTTGACATTGCTGGAGTGGGGTCTGGAGCTGACATAGCATATGGCCACCTGGAAGCATCAAGCAGAAATAGCACCAGCATCTCAAAACCAAGTGAAACGTCTGCATCTTTAGCGGAGTGAGTCAGCGCCTTCCTTTTTAGCTGTCCATTTCAGGGTCAGGTAAAGGTGACACATTTTTATTGAAACTTCAGTGGGCTGGTTATTTAAGCTTTGTACGCCCTATATTTAGTATGTCGTCTTAAACAAGAGACACTTTAAATAGGTTATTTCTCATAACAGGATAGTTAGTAGAGGGGCTTGTTTTGTTTCTATTGATTTCTTTAAGAGTTCATAAAATAATAAAAAGCTGCCTTCCACAAAAAGGCACACTTAGGAAAGTTTAAATGGTTAGATTCCCTTATTGATGAGAATAAAAATTTTAAATCAGTGTTTCACTTAGATATACTTAAATTTTCAGTTGGGTGGAAGCTTTAAACAGTGAATGGATTTAAATTTTTAGCTCTCTGTGGCTTCTATGTACAGAAGGTAGCTTCACAAAAATTACAGAGAAGTGTAAGCTAGGAGCCCCTGAGGACGGTAGAATGGCTTAATGTGTGGGCCAGCCTGCTTGTGTTCAAATACTGGTTCCTCTGAGTAGCTGTGTGACACTGAGCAGTTTTCTTGTCTATAGAGAGAATAGTGACACCTGTCCATAGGACTGTTTCGTGAATTAAAGAATGCAACCCACTTAGCAAGTATTTAGTGGCTGCAGATGCTGTCATTAGTGGTATTGAGATTGTGCTGTCCAACACCTAAAGCCCTGGATTCTTTCAGGAGACTACAGAGATGGCATAAAACAGATACCCTAAAAAGTATTATTACATCTGATTTTTTTTCAAGATCCCTTCTACCTCAAATTCTACAATTCACGGTTCAACCCACCATGCAGATTATTGAAATACCATAAGAATAAGGATGTAAAATGCTTACACTTAAAATTTTAGAATAAAAATTTAAAAATAAAACAAAACAAGTTCATACTGTATAGCACAAGGAACTATATTCAGTATCTTGTAGTAACTTATGGTTAAAAAGAATGTGAAAACGAATATATGTATGTTCCTATATGACTGAAGCACTGTGCTGTACACTGCAAACTGACACAACATAGCAAACTTGAATAAAAATATATTAAAAAAAAATAAATAATCCTAAGGGGAAGCTTAGTGGTTGAAGCTCTTGAAGGCCGTCAGTGGTCAGAAGCCTAAAGGTACAAGTGGCAAATTAAGAACAAAAAAAAAACTGATGGAGAATTTGAGACAGAGTGAGAGAAAAAAATGAAAAATAAGGAAATAATGAAAAAGCAAGAAGCCCAGGAGTGGAAAGTATAAAAATAGGGGCTATAAAAAGGTCTCCTGTGATACCCTCAGGTGTTCTGCAATCACTGACTTCCCCTTGTCTGCCTGTGACGCTCAGATCACGTGACCATAGTGTCATCTGATACATGTTACAACAGGGAGGAGCAAGTAACTGCTTCTGCCTCGGGTCACTGAGTAGGCTTCTTCACGGAGCAGACCTCTGAGCTAAGCTTGGAGTGTTCGCTGGCTCACTGCGGGGAGGGGGATAGGTGTGTGAGCTTTGCCTAAGTGAGTATGTCACCAGCTCCTTGTCTGTCTCCACTTAAGCTTTCAAATGGGATCTAAAATGAGTAAGAACTGGATGGAAGCAGGGAAAGCACAGCCCCGCCCCTTCCCCTTTACCTCTGGTCCAATGTTCAAGTAGCAGTCAATGGCCAACACGGGACTCTTGAAGTTATGGATAGCTTTGGGGAAGAGTTTGTACGAGGCATGCTGAAGGAACTTCTCCAGGAGAAACTGTGCAGGGGCTGCCAGCAGTGTGTGTTCACTGTCAGGAGCACAGACATACTGCAGGGGCAAGATGGGTGCTAAGCTCTCTGACACCTGAAATCAGAGCCAAGAGGATCATGGGAACTGTGTCTGTCACTATGTGAAACTGGCAAGGAAACACTGCATTGCATCCTAACAGCCTCCAAATAACAGCAGGAGCACAGAGACGGAGGTCAGGCTCAAGTGGAAGTCCGCCTGTCTTGGGTTGTGAATTTTTTTCCCGCCGGAAATAGTTCAGTTGGATCTAACATAATTTATACACAGCAAGAGCAGGAGAAAATGCAAAAAAGTAGACTTCTTTGAAAGTTAGTGCATTTAGCAGATACACTGTAGAGCCCAAACAGAAAGCCTTTTATATTGTTGCTGGATCTGGATGGGTTAAATCCCATCCCATCACCACCAAAAAAATAGCAAAGAAGTTTTCTAAGGTCCACTGGGGAATCCACGTGTTATAAATGATCAGATATCAGTAAATCTCTAAAACAGAAATGGGTATGCCTGTGGAATTAACCCTTAACAGGTTTGGAACTGCATTACCTGAAAAACAAAACCCAAAAACCTGGCAAAGGACCACACAAGCATCTTGGTTACATTTCGCTCATGTGTTAAATGAAGAATGTAAAAGTGTTAACTTTGCCAGTTTAAGAATATAGTAAAGTTTGAAACGCCATGAAAGCTTCAGTTAAGCCTTAAATCTAACGAAAGGTAATTCTGTTGAATTTTCATAGCTTATGTTTGGCTCTAGATGAGTCCTCAGGGAAATGAGACTGCAAATTTGACATTAAGAACTGACTCCCTTGCGTTAGCTTCGCTTTCTAGTCAAGAGGCAGGTGCTTAATGCTAGTTCCTAATAACAGAGATACTAAAGAGAGATCACTGTCAAATACTGAACAGTAGACTCAAGCTTGCGAACTTACCATGATCTTTGGTTTAATGATAAAGTCCCTTTGCCCTCCAACCTGAACATGTTTCTTCATGAGGCTGAAGTTATTAAAGCGGCAGATGAGCAGGCCACTACTGTTTGTTCTCAGGTTAAAGTCAACATCTTCACAGAAATACCTAAATTGTAATCATAACGATAGGTTTCCTTAACTACCTGTCACACCTCAACACTGATAATTACACAGAGAAATGTGGCAGATGTCAGGAGACAGCCTTAGACAGAATCAACCGTTCCCCCTCACGGAGCTGGCGCTCTCAGCACTGGCCTGTGAGCCTCTTGGGTATTGCAGCCAACAAGGAGGGAGAAAGTAACGAGACTGGTCCCACTTTCCACAGTGCCCCAGGCGTTCCTGAACTGAAACAGGGCTGCACGTTCTGTATACTCTTGGGACAGGAGTGCAGAGCTGCTCCCAGTTTTAAAATCCTGGCTGCAAACAGGATGAAGCATCTGCCAAGATTTAAACCACAGAGGTGAAACAGCTACAGAATATTGTAATAGCTACAGGTTGGGGGGTGACATAAGGGGGACTCTGTGGTCTCCTTGGCCATTTCAGACTTCCCAGGGTGTGGACATAACTTACTCAGGAGGCCAGGCCAGAGGATCTAGGTCTCAGGGTCTTGCTAACACGTGGGGAAAGTGATTACCTTCTGAGATCTGAGGGTGAATGAAAGGTTCACCTTGAATGGTCTATGGGTCCACACACTGATGTGACGCAACAGTGCCGGCCCTGGTTTAGTTCTTGTTGAGTGGCCGTAATACATTTTCTAAGCATTTCACGTTGCAGCAGCTATTATTAAGGGTCTGGGTCATTCTGAAGGTTGATGAAGGGGCCACTTTGGGGCGTGTGACCCTCCTCCCCACTGTCTCTGTCCACATGGTCTCAGTTTCTCCAAGACACAGATAGGAACAAAAGCATTACAGAGGCTAGAGCCAAGCAGAAACGATCAGTACATGCCAGGATTCCTTGCATCCGGGAGGCCTGACTTACCTGTTGAAGTCATACTGCACGTTCTGAGTCAGGTCTATGTTGAGGAGAATGAAGTCATGCACGTGGCACCTGGAGAACGGGGCCTTCAGGCTCTGAGAGGTCAGCCTGCTGCTCCACTTCTGTATGCCCAAGATTGCGTAGTGGACGATTTTTGGTGTGGCTTCAATATGCTGCAAGACACTCCTCAGGGACACATTCTTACTGGAAACTCCTGTTTCCATGGGTTGGCTACGAAACGCAGAGTTAGTTTATGTAAGATATCTGTCGCCACTACTGCAGAGAGGGTCAGTTCTGAAGGGCTAACACTACAGTGTCCATGTCTGTCAGGGATGCAGTTAGCTGATTTACTTTATGATAGCCTGGAATGGAGAAGGACATCGAGCCTGGTTTTCACACTGCCTGTCACTGCTAACTGAAGGAAGCTGCCTTCCAGGAGGGGGACTGATCACTTTAAGGTAGGGAAAGAAATCCAGCCCATTTCTAAGTGAATAATGAACAGGGAGTTACCAAAGAGAGGGAGCACGCAAGTGTCCTTCCAAGTTCTGGTCATCACGGTATAATAAAGGAGTATTTGAAAACATCACTGGCTTCATATCTACAGGGGAAATGCACAAAATCACAGCGCTGGAGCTGGAAAGGCCGAGAGCCCATCTGGCACTGTTTTCACTGGGGCTGGGAACATCTGGGGCCATTTGCCACATAGGACTTTTCCAGATGTAGCATTTCATGGTCCTCATGGATCCCCTCACAACTCACTGCCCCAGGAGGAGAACCTCTGATTCTGGCCCAACCATAATTTTACAGGTGATGGAACAGTTATGAAGCAGAGCTAGGGCTAAAAAGCAGGTGTCCTGATTCAGAAGGTTTCTAAATAAACCATAGTGTCTTTCAACAGACTTTTACAGCAAACCAAAGCCATGATGCAGAAATGGCCCAGGAATTCAGTGGCATACCGAATGCCTAAATTAAAAAATTCATTAGTCACCACGGACTGTGCTAGTGGGAGTGGTCTCATGGATGATCGTTCTGCCCTGGAAAACTGTGGCTCTAACTTACTTCCATGTGTGACGACAGCCAAGGGAAGTGTCTTCTCGGTAGCACTGTGTCACAGTCCCCTAGAACTGCTTGGGAAGTGCCAGTACCTGGTCTGCTCCTGAACGCTGTGAATGTGCCACAGGACACACGAGTCGTCCATCACAACGATGAAAGGCCAGACACACTGGCGTTTAACTCCCAGCTCCTCCAGGCGGTTCCTCTCCAGTTCCAGGTTGTGATATGACAGCTCCTTAATGAGAAACCTGGCGGCACCTGGAAGGCAACACAACGACGGCTGGTACGAAGAGCTCTTCGCCCAGGCTTGGCTGGAGCTCCGCAGACAGCGGGCGTTCTCTCCATAAGCACACCTGTTCACGTGGTGACCGTGCAAGTGGGGTCAACCACACGTTGAGAGCAGTGGTTCTCACACCAGTGCAGGTAAGAATCACCCAGGAAGTCCACTTAAAATGCAGATTCCTGGAGCCCACCACCAGACTGACAAGGGGCCAGGAACCAGAGAGGTCTTTGATGCAGGTCATTCGTGAACCACACTTTAAGGAGTACTGGGAGAATCTAGTTTCCCTGATGGGAAAAAAAGGTTCCACATAGAGGAAGCCCTTATTACTGGTTCCTTAAAGTCATAAAGGGCCCTGTCAGTCTCAGAAGCAGCCACTCTAACGTCCTGCACTAGGCTAGTAGCCAGGGCTGCGGTGGTGGGTGTGGTGCTTAAAATAATGTGTCCCCTGCTTTAGATACCTTTAGAAAATTGGCAGCAGTGTCTCTGAAGATTCTGGGAACTGGTATCCTTTCCCTAGGTCTGCCTTTTTGTCAGAGGCACACTGTATAGTGAGTAAGAGAAAAGCCTGGAGCCAAGCTGCTTAGGTTTGAATCCTGATTCCACTACTTCCTGGCTGTGTGACAGTGAACAAGTCCCCTGTGCCTGGGCTTCCCCACCTGTAAGGCGGCAATGCTAATGTCTACTTCACAGGCGCTCGGGATAGTGCCAGCACATAAGTACTCAGTGTCAGCAATTATTAAGGTGATGATCAGGAATTAGCCAGGTTTTATGAGTGGGCCATCCTAAGATGAAAGAAATGTAGACGATAATGAAGAGGCTAAAAAAACTTTAGTCTATGGAGGAACCAGGAAAACAGTTTGAATAGTTCAAGGGTAATACTAGGATTTAGAAGAATCTACTTTCAAGAGTAATGTGTCTTAATAGTTTGCATTCTCAACATAATAAGGGCCATATATGAAAAAGCCCACAGCTGACATACTCCACAGGGAAAGGTTGAAAGATTTCTTCTTAGATCAAGAATAAGACAAGGCACAGCAAAGGAAACCAGAAGTAAAACAAGAAGAAAACCTACGGAATGGGAGAAAATTTTTGCAAGTGAAACCAACAAAGGCTTGATCTCCAGGATATATAAGCAGCTCATACGACTCAATAAGAAAAAAATAAACAACCCAATCCAAAAATGAGCAGAAGACCTAAACAAGCGATTCTCCAAGGAAGACATACAAATGATCAAAAAGCACATGAAAAAATGCTCAGTATCACTAATTATCAGAGAAATGCAAATCAAAACTACAATGAGGTATCACCTCACACCAGTCAGAATGGCCGTTATTCAAAAATCCACAAGTGACAAATGCTGGTGAGGCTGTGGAGAAAGGGGAATCCTACACTGCTGGTGGGAATGCAGTTTGGTGCAGCCACTATGGAAAACCGTGTGGAGATTCCTCAAAAGACTAGGAATAGACTTACCATATGACCCAGGAATCCCACTCCTGGGCATATATCCAGAAGGAAATCTATTTCAGGATGACACCTGCACCCCAGTGTTTATAGCAGCACTATTTACAATAGCCCAAACATGGAAACAGCCTAAATGTTCCATCAACAGGTGACTGGATAAAGAAGATGTACATTTATACAATGGAATACTATTCAGCCATAAAACCCGAGAACATAATGCCATTTGCAGCAACATGGATGATCCTGGAGAATGTCATTCTAAGTGAAGTAAGCCAGAAAGAGAAAGAAAAATACCATATGAGATTGCTCATATGTGGAATCTAAAAAACAAAAACAAAAAGCGTAAATACAGGACAGAAATAGACTCACAGACAGAGAATACAGACTTGTGGTTACCAGGGGGGTGGAGGGTGGGAAGGGATAGACTGGGATTTCAAAATTGTAGAATAGATAAACCAGATTACACTGTATAGCACAGGGAAATATACACAAAATGTTATGATAAATCACAGAGAAAAAAATGTGACTGATTGTATATATGTCCATGAATGACTGAAAAATTGTGCTAAACACTGGAATTTGACACAACATTGTAAAATGATTATAAATCAATAAAAAATGTTAAAAAAAAATAAGACAAGGATGCCTATCTTTACCACTTCTATTTAATGTAGTACTAGAAATCTTAGAGCAATTAGATAAGAAAATGAAATAAAAGCTACCCATGTTGGAAAGAAGTTAAATTATCTGTTTCCAAACATGATCTTATATGTAGAAAACACTGAAGATTACACATACACAGAGTTAGAATTCAGTGAAGTTGCAGATACAAAAACAACACAAATTACATTTCTGTATCGTAACTATCAATCTGAAAGGGAAGTTAAGAAAACAGTTACATTTACAACAGCATCAAAAAGAATACAATACTTGGGAATAAATGTTTAATCAAGGAGGCAAAAGACTTACTTTTGTACACTAAAAAGTACAAAACATTGCTGAAATTACAGACACAAATAAATGTAAAGACACCCCATGTTCATGGATTGGAAGATGTAATATTGTCAAGATGACAGTACCACAGAAAGCAATCTACATGTTTATGTAATCCCTATCAAAATACCAGGGTGTTTTTTTTTTTTCCGGATATAGAAAAGTCCACCTTTAAATGCACATGGAATCTCAAAGGACTCTGAATAACCAAAACTATCTTGAAAAAGAACCACAAAGTTAGAGTTCTCACACTTGGCTGACTACAAAACTAGAATAATCAAAACAGTGAGGTAATGGTATCAAGACAGACATATAAACCAATGGAATAAGAATACAGAGCCCAGAAATACACCCTTGCATATATGGTCAAATTATTTTTGACCAAGGTGCCAAGACCATTCAATGGATTAAAAGATTGTCTCTTTAACAAGTGGTGTTGGGCAAACCCGATAGCCACATGCAAAAGAATGAAGTTGGACCCTTATACTATATAAAAAAATCAAGATGGATCAAAGAGCTAAAACCATAAAACTCCAAAAAGAAGACAGGGAAAGTTTGATGGTGTTGGTTTTGGCAATGATTCCTTTGCTATGACACCAGAAGCAAAGGCAACAAGAGAAAAAATAAACTGGACTACATAAAATTTTAAAACTGTGCAAAGGACTCAACAATGAAAAGGCAACCTACAGAATGGGAGAAGATACTTAGATCATATCTGATAAGGGATTAATACCCAGAATATATAAAGAACTACAAGTCAACAACAACAAAAACCTGTTTAAAAAGTGGATTCTCCAAAGATACACAAATGGCCAACAAGCAAGTGAAAAAGATGATCAACATCACTAATCATTAGGGAAATGCAAATAAAATAACAGTAAGATACCCACAGAAGCCAATGAGAAGTGATTTAGATGCAGGGAGTGACCAGACAGGAAAGCTGTAGAACACTGGATCCAGCTGGAGGTTCCCTGCCCGCAGGAGTAAGTGAAGGAGCTGTGGGCCGCCCGTTCCTCCCACCACTGTGTACACTCAACCACCAGGTGCCCCCTGAGAAATCAGCCTGTTGCTCTTCAGCTCCATGGGGAAAAGCGGGAAGGACTTCTGGATACTTTTAAGATGACTGCCTCAGGTCCCCAGTTGTGCAGAACCCTCAGGAACTCGCCACGTGCCTTCAAGATTGGCGACGACTCAGAGATCCCTCCAGCCCAGAGAAGACTACTAACTCCCCTCCTCAGACCATCCTCACTGTGCTGTTCCTGCCGCTGGCCTGCAGCAAGGAGCACTTGCAGCCTGTACTGACAGGTGTGCCCAGCCCTTCCCAGGGTGCTCAGTGTCCCAGTGACTGCTTTGGTTACTAGTCCTCAGAAGTTAAAAATTCTGCAAAACTGCAGATAAAGAGAAACAAAAACTCAGATTTAAAGAGGAGTCAGAAATCCTTTGGTCTGAAGGGCAAGACCCTTTCCAGAGGCAGGGGAACCTTTGAAAGTCCATGCCTGGGGAAGGAGCTGTTTCTGTTTGCAGCCCTCCCCCCGCCCCGGGGGCCCCCTTACCCACGCCTGCGTTATTGAACATGCCGGGCAGCACCAGCATGATGTGGTTGGGCCAGTACTTGCGGTACAGCGGCATCTCATACTCTTTGACTACCAGGAGGTGCAGGTGGCTGATGCCCTCCATGGCGTGAAAAAGGTTTAGGAGTCCGTGCTCATGGCGACCACTGGAAGGAGTGAAAATAGGGCTCTTGACTGCATTCAGATTCTGCTGAAAGGGAAAAAGGAAGAAAGAAAAAGGACCAGAAACCAAAAGAGTATTAGAACCCTGAGATACAAAGCAGCTTAGAAAACCTGATCTCGTACCTGAGGCCTGTTGGTCCTCGTGTCCAGACACTATCACCCACCTTGTCCGAAACCAGGGGCAGCCGCATGCTCTCCAGGTGTTTGCCCTGCTTGCTGAAGACAAAATGACTCTCTTTGGATTTGGGAATGATGAAATAGAGCTGCACCTCCTCTCCCAGCACGGAGGAAGAGAACGTGAAGGCATGAAGGGTAGAGTCAGACATCTACATTTGCAAAAAAGAAAGGGAGGGAGTGTAAGCTCCATGGTTCGCAAACTTCCTGGCCACTTGTGAAGGCTGTCATTCAGAGAGGCAAACTAAGCTCAGCTTCTACCTGCCACCCGGCCTGGCTGTGCGAGCAATGCTGGAAAGGTAAGAAAGGCAAACACTTCATCTTTCAGTGGCTGCCGCTGACCTGAGAGCCAGGCACCCTGCCCCTACGCAGCCTCTCGGCTGGCGAAGTACCTGTTGCTCAACACTGTCTGCATTTCTCGTGTTCTTAGAACCGCTGCTGCTCAGACTTACAGAGGCCCGTCCAGTATACACTGTGGGACATCCTGCTATGTAAGCATTCCCCAAGGTGCCCAGTGATGGGGGAAAACACTTCTGTTCTTTGTGGCTCAGGTCAAATAAATATTTTTTAAGTAAAATATTAAGACTGGCATCATTAAAACGCCTCTTGAGCTACAAGGGAAACTAAAGATTTTTGAACCCAAGCTTTAGCCTAGAACTCACTTCCGAAAGAGACCAACTTATCTAAGGCGATTATAAATCTAACCTATCTTTTAAAAATTGCTGTAAAGTTCACATGCTCTCTCAATAACCCAGCTCAGTGAAAAATAACATAAAAGTCTTTACAATGCAGGCAATATTTGGCTAATGAAAAGATAGCATCACTTTTCAGCAGCAACTAGAATCCAGGTAGGTTTCCCAAGAGTTTCAATCTAAATATTACATTTCATAGAAAAATCATATTGTAATTCTTCCCTTAAATTCTCGTTCATTCTGCTTCACCGGTGTGGGAATATACTAGTTAGTGAGTAATCATACAGGAATTATATAGAGGGTTTTTAATAAAGAAATTTTCCAAAAACATAAGTTATAGATCAGGGGACTTGAATCCTCTAAATTCCATAAAGCATTGTGAGCTGATTTCAAACTAGCCCAGCAAAAGTTTTCAGTAACACAAGAAAACAAATGGGACAATGAAAGGTAACTTTTATCAGGAACAGCAGAATGGTCAGCGCAGTGTTCTTGTTTGGTTTTAAGTAAAAGTAGATTTATTCAAAGAGATACATACTCCACAGAGTGGTGGCCGTCTCAGAAGCCCAGAGAGGCCATGAGGCGTGGGGGTGGGTGTTTAGTTTAAAGCAGAAGTAGATACGCCCTCCATAGATGGAGCACAGGCCTTCTCAAAAGGCAGGAGAGAGGGCCCAGCCCAGTTTTTCAGTGTCTCCCTCCTTGTACCCTGTGGGGAAAGGGTGAAGACTGGACCTCGAGACCAGAGGCAAGTTTGTGGGAAGTCCACTCAGCACATCCTCTAGGAAGGAAGAGCTGTTCCAGGGTTCAGAGCCAAGTGATAAAAATCAAGATAAAGTGGGGGAATCCAACGCAGAACTTAACGCCCCAAATAGGCACCGGATTCTCCCATCATTGGCTGCCTTTCCCATCTTTTGTGCTTAAAGATGCTCTGGCCAAAAGGAAGCTAAATGCTGTGGGGTGTCTGCTCCCCTTCTGTGTTCCTACCTCTCAGTTCTCTCCAAGTAAAAGAGCAAACATTGACTCCTCTGTATGCCCAGTGGTCAAAACCATCCCATGCTGGAGCAAGAATGAGACTAGGTCTGTGCAAATCAACAGACTTGTTCACAGCGCAAAGGGTGCACCCTACAGCTCTGGAGATAATGGCGCCATTTTCATCAACAGCCCGAAGTGGGAGAGAGACCCTTTCACCCAACACACCACACTACCCAGCTTTTCAGGGTCACAGATAAACACCTCAGCTCCTTTCTAACCTAAACATGACACGTGTAACCATTTTGCTGAAATGAGTTAAGACAAACCCAGTTCTTTCTCTCCTCCCCTCC